AATTAAAATTTACGAAAATTAGAAAAAATGGAATATAATTTTGAATGAAGGGTGCATGAAATAGCAAATGTACCATTCCAAAATAAATTTAAATAAAAATAGTCTAGAGAAATAAATAAGTAAATAAATTAATTAAGATTAGCAAACTGACATATACCGATATTGAGGCGGCTGAGGACCTCGGTTGAGACTAGACAGCAACGGTCAAGGGCATTGTACGCTATTTCAAAAAAAGCTCTCAATGAAGAGGGGCAAAAAGCGGAATTTTCGTAATAAATGGCCATTAGGGGGAAAGACCCAGCCGAGTGGCGGAAAAGTGGCGGGTGAAGTGGTTAATGTGCGTGGGGAGTGGCCAGCTTCAGAAGGGGTAAGAGAGAAGGAATGATTCATTGAAAATAGTATGTTGGGGATATTTTAATAAATTATTGATGTGTATGGCTTCTAATTTAAGTCTGTTGAGTGTATCTGTTTTCTATTTCTAAATTTTAACGTCACTGTATTAAATGAGTGCTCTTGTTCTAAGAAATGGTTGGCAAAGTGTGATTGTGTTGTTTTGTGTGTATGAGATTGTACATGTTCTTCGATTTTTTCTTTGAAGAATATTCCGGTCTGGCGGTGGGGATCACCGAGCAAGTCGATCAAATGAAGGATCCGCTAAATAATCGTTCAACTGTGGGATTTACGAGCAAGTCGATCGAGTAGGGGAACTCCTAACAAGTCGGTCAAATAAAGGGTCCCCAAGCACGTCGATCAAATGGAGGATCCCGACCAAGTCGATCAAGTTAGGGAAACTAAGCATTTCGATCAAGTGGGGTTCCTCGATCAAGTAGGGGATCCACGATCGAATGGAGAATCCACTATCAAATCGATCAAGTAGGGGATCCCTGAGCAAGGTGATCAAATGAAAGATACCCGAGAAAGTCCATCAAGTGAGGAATCCCTGAGTAAGTCGATGAAGTGGAGAATCTCTGACCAAGGCGATTAAGAGATTTTTAGACACATGTTTATATAAAAAGGCGGGCGCCGCAACAATTGTTACAATCGTTTCATTGATTTGTAATAACAAAACGAAACCATCTGTGTAGTAATTTTACTCCCTTGCCTCCTACACTACACACCAGATATGCTATCAATTGCTAAAAATATCGGACAATTTGACCTACATGTCACTTTTAACACGGCTAACAAACTCCAAAACACGCGTTCCCACGATAGTGGTTCTCTTCTTTAGACTTTATCATATGGTCTATACTCTATTTCTTGTGGCAATTGCAATACACCCTATATTAGCCTTGTTAGAAGATCAGAGAATTAAAGAACACATGCTTGCTTATACTCAACACAACACAATCGCACGTTGTCAGCCGTCACTTACGACAAAACATTCATTGAACGTTGCGATTTCAACATTTTAAAAATTAAAATGTATGTCACACAGACTTCAATTGGAAACCATACATATTGTAAATTTATTGAACAATCGCCAACACACAATTCTAGATGATCACATTCATTTTCTCTCATCCCTCGAAGTTCCCCACTTTCCTCACACATTAACCTTCTCTGCAGCTTTTTCGCCACCCAGTCGTCTCTTTGTTTTTTATTGGTTATTTCTTCTCCCCTCTCTATTGTCAGTCTTCGGTAAATAGCAATGCACTGCTCTTCAACCAGGCTGTTGTGTTTTTATCAGGGCCAACAGCCGACACAGAATCGTTATCACGTTTGCTCATCTGTTTTTATTTCTTTTTTTTCATATATTCTATTTTCTTTATTTCCTTTCATTTTAACATAATTTATATTAATTTCAACAATTAAATCAAGTTAACTTTCTTATTTTATCAATATTTCATTTATGTCCTTTATCAGGTATTTCACTTTGTAAATTTGTGATTTTAAGTATTGTTCCTCTATACTTCTGTAATTTATTATCATACTTTATTCTTCCTTTTGATTAATTCTTCACAAAAATTCACAAATTATTGTTGTTTATTATACTAATTATAATTTAGATTTTTTGGTTTTGTATCACTGAAAAAACCAAATCCCTCTTTTCATCATTGGCAAATTAAAAATATCTAGTTAACGTTTTAAAAGTGTCAAGGCGACCTGTTGATTATGCCAGTAATACAAAGGCTTGGATGACGAATATTTATTTAAAAATTGATTTAAAATGTTGACAAAGAAATGAAGGTAAAACGAACAAAATTGTCCTTTTCATTGACAACCGTGCTGCCCATACGGACTTACCAACACCTTTAAACGTCATGTTCTTGTCTGGAAATACCACCAGTAAGCCCTAAACATCAACCAGTAGATCAAGGTATCATTCCACATTCAATTGCTTCCACATTCACACTATCATTCCACATTCAAATTCGCAGAGAAGTCGTTTAACATGCCTTTACTTGCCTGGAAAAATAATAGCAGAAATTAAAGTACATTTAACCAAGAAATTCACAATAAGAGCATGATATACAGTAAGTTACTGTGAAAAACTGATTTTAGAAAGTTTGGTTTGGGATCAGTACAGATAAACAAAACTCTCTTCCAGAATAAAATGAGGTTGTAGTTGGACCTAACAATAACGAAGGACAAAGCTTGTGTTTCATGAAACCAGTCTGTTAACGCCACGCTTCGAAAACTTCGTTCAGATTGACGACGAGGTGGCCACCGCAGGAGGTCGGCGGTATCGTCGACGATGAAGTTAAGAATTGCGTGCGCACTTGTAGATACTGACAGAAATGATAGTGAAAATGCAGCCGACCAATTACAGAATTTAGATTCAGAAGTAAAGAACATTCCAAAGCAAGAAGCTTTAAGTGGCTTGGAAACGCTCCAAACGAATATTCTAAATATTCGGAGGGTTGTAACAATATTTGACAAGATTTTTGTACTGGAAAAACATACAAAATACAAAAACAGAATCACAGACGAAATTAATGGATATATTTAAGTAAATATTTGTGTGCGTTTTTTGTTTTCTTTTTGTAAGCATCAATATCAAATTCTAATGAATAATACGTACACAATACGTACATATTTATCACTACATATTTGCTGCATTTTTTAAACCTCTATGCGCGAGAAAAGCCATTCCTGTACCTGTATAAGCGAAAAACTTGGTTTAGTGAAAAATTCCATAAGCGAAAACGCTATTGCGGTCCCTTGAACGCTCCCTTGACCAGGTTCAAATGTATACATCCCTGTTGTATCTAATAAGAGACCGAAGCGGCATCTGCAATTTAGTTTCAAGCAGAATAAGTACGTTTACGTAGTATTTTTAAGATAGGCTCTCATCAAAATTGCAAAAGCCTAATCGTCCGCAACACAAACGTGTATGGCGAAGAATGAATAAATTTTTGCCTTTCTAGGGATACTGGAGGGGGGGGGGGGATCTCTACTCATTTCACCCTGAGGAAGATCGCTGAATGACTGCGAAACGTTGGCACCTGTGCCTAGAACGCAGCGTGTCCCGCACACCCAAGTATTTATGGACTCCGACAACGAAAGTCTACACTCTCAAACCATCTAACTTTTCTCACTGCAAAAATCACTTTTGTCCTCTTAGTTCCAATGGATTATAATTTTACTTTCCTAATTTATGGGAACAGTAGAGAATCTAAAGAAGCTTACTCTGTCTCTCCTGTCGCGTTTTGCCCCAGTCCACTATCGAATACAATTTGGTTATCGTGAAAATACAATTTTATTTTAGAGAAAATAGAATACCACACTACGAGAAAGTGTACCCACACAAAACAACAAAACGTTATTAAACCATTACAAGCACAAAAAACTCCAATGAAAAAATATCTCGATATACTATAATACTATACCGTACGGTAAAAATACTATACCGTATTTTAACCATTAGCTCGCGGCATCCCCAAAATGGGATCATGGGAACTTTTTTAATCGTCCCATATGCTATCCGAGGATAAAGTTTAATAAAAAAATTGGAGATATTTTTGAGGTAATTTCGAAAATGTCGAGGCATTATCTAAAGTACCCTCACAAATTAAAATATCAGTTTCAAATTCAATGGGCCGCGACATCAGCGAGATCGGTCCAGGAATATCAATTGCGGAGAGTGGCGGCTCGTGCCCGAATTTTATGGAGGTTGCAGCTCCATAAAATGACAGGAATGTAATTTCTCAAATTCAGTGCACAAATATATAATAAAATGGAAGCAATTCATGTAAATGAATTAAAACTAAGTTTAATAAAAATCTGCATTGAAATATTACTTACATTTCTTCGTAGTGTCCGTGTCAAGTATATTCATCTCCCGCGCTCATAATTCTGGCATTGATTTCCAGTGTTGTACAAGGACTATTGTTTGAACATGTTTTATACAAATAAAATTATTTTATTTCGATAACTTCACTACCCTGATATATTGCAAAAATTAAATAGCTTCTACATACATTCGTATTCAGAAGAACGCTCGCAAACTGCTGGCCAGCTGTTGGCCGACTTGCTTTTGCGAAATACACAGGGACTTCCTTCCATAACGGCCAACTTAACTCAAAGAGCCCATAAAATGTACGTTTTGAACCAACAAACCCTACATCAAATGAAAACAAATTGTCCAAATATCATAAACAATGCATTGAATACCGTCAATAATTGACTGAACTTGTTTTTTTTCAATAACACGCAAAATTCATAAAATTAAGTCGCAGCTAGAGTCAGACGAAGGCAGAATATTGGTATTGCCTTCGGACTGACTCGGTCGCCGCGCAGTGCTCCACAGCGCTCGACGATGAGACCCACATATACCCACAACCCATACATTTGGTTGAGTCACCGAAGTCCATGTTTTTACCCGTGTAAAAGTGAAGGGACAAAGAGTAAATGCAGTACACCCAGTAATATAGCCAAGAGCGTGGTGAAATACCCGAGAGTCATTTACTACCTCTATGGGTGAAATACCCGAGAGTCACAAGACGCCGGAGAGAGCGCCAGTTGGACGCTCTTTTCTTTCAAAATGATTTCATATACATCGATATTGCTGTAATAACTTGAATATCGAATGTCATTAAATGGGAAATGTGTATTCCTAAGATATTATAAGATATTTTTCGATTATATGGAGGTTGTGCCACCGTGCAACCTAAGCACGAGCCGCCTCTGATAGCGGTAAAATCCTACTTAAGCTTTAGCCGCTAGCATTGTACTGATGGACAGACAGGATGAACGGAGGTTTTGATTTTTCGTAAACCAGTACTCACAAAACGTAGATTCTGACTACATAATGTGCAAAGGGAGTAATTTGCTGCATGCTGGAACAAGCTTTATCCACTTTACGTATCTGGGCTCTACAACACATTTTCCTGTCGAAAAATAGCCGTTTTCCCCTGCAGCGTTGCAGTTCTTTTCTCTATACTACGTAAGTAGTATGCGAGTAAGTAGAAATTAATACGTCTTTCACTCACGAAGCTGTACGAGGGATTTCAAAACGAATTCTTGGATATGAAATAGCGAAACAATTTGAAAGAGGCGCGTCATCACTTCCCTGTCTTTGCCTTCGCTAGTGTCATGAGTGGTCATGAGACTTGAGCAGGACTGTGTCAGGTTATCTAGTGTACGGAGTTTATGTACCTACGTTGGTAGTTTAAATGCGTGTTTCCATTATTAAGGGATGACTGTAATTAGCGGATTATTTTTATCTTGATTTTCAAGGTGTGTAAAACAGTGTTGTTGATGTGAGTAAAATGAATTGTATTGATTATGTAGATTAAATGTAATAATAAAGGAAGATTTGGAAAAACTTAAAATAATTAATGGTAATTTCCTCAAAGTTTGAATCTGAATGACACCCTTGCCCTAAGGTAGTTTTCGGCTTATATGTGTATCTTCTTTCCATATTCAGTTATTCCATCATGTAGGTTGGTTTGTGCTAATATTGTTTCTTTGGTTATAGAATGACTCACAGTCACTTGAGAGCTCTTATTAAGTGCCTTACATAGGGAGTTTTGAGGTTGATCTTACAGTTTAAAAAAAAATTATATTATATCAGTGATACTTCTGTGCCTTGTGTCCAATATTTGATACATTTGTTTAGAGAAATAGAAAAGAAATACCAACTTCTTTTCAACTTACATTTGAAAATGTATTAAGTTTTATTTTGAAGACTTCTTATTTTTGTGTGATATTCTGAGATGTCAATTGTCTTGTATTCATATTTCTTGTATGCATCCGTAAGGATCAATTGAATGAGCTGTAGAAGTATTGTATAATCACCAACATAATTTGTTTTTTAATAACCATTTAATTCTTTAATGTTTTGCAGAGACTTTAGTGCTGAACTTTTGTGAAAACAACAAATTACTTGAATAATTTTCCAGAGAAACAGCACATTTGGAGGTAATTATTTTTTAATATAAATTTGAAATGGTACTTTGTAATCAGATGTTTCTACTTTGGATTAATATTCAAAATGGTTACTTTTCTTACAAAAATCATAAAAGAAACAAAAATACATACTTATTTATCATAATGATCATAATAATAAGGCACCATCAGTTCAAACGTGTATGGTGCAATGATTAAGAATCTACATCATTTGCTCTAATAACATACCTAAAATACTATACTATTGTTTGATTAGATTCATTTGTCAACTTTCAATATTTGTTTGACTTCTCATTCTGGAGTATTGATTAGCCATTCTATCAATTTAAATTTAATATTCAACTTGTCAATGAATTCCAAGGTTTTCAAATTGACTGTGATATTATTGAAAACTATAACCAATTTAAATTTTTGTTCTCCATCCAATTTCTTGGTGTCATTTTGGTATGATAATAATTTATGGCATTTTGTATGGTAAATTTTTTTCTTGTAGTTTGTAATTTGTTATCAGTGGTGTCTGTATAAAATATTTACATAAATTAATTACTTTCTGGGTTTCTTTTTTCTCGATCTATTTCAGGTGATCCTCAAAGTAAATGCCCAAGTATTTATAAATTCTGGTTCTTCTCATTAATGTACTCACCTAGTTACAATCTGGCTCGTGGGTTTTTATGTAAATTTTTGGAGTGCTGTCCATGTAGCTACGATATCTCAAGAAGACTGTCTTTTCGTTGGTAGCAATAGATGTACTGTAAGCCACGCTGCCCTTTTTTTCATTTGGTGCTCTATTGTTTTCTGTAGAGCATTCCAGTTTTGACGCTTATTATTACTGTAATGTCATTTACAATAGTTATTATTTCTTCCTGGTCGACATTGTTTAAAATATTGTCTATGTACAATATGAAAATGTTGGTCTTAATATTGTGTCCTGCAATATTTCACAATGCCATGTTTGTTTTGTACTTTTGCAGTTCCCAATTTTTACTGTTTGTTTTCTGTTCCTGAGATAGCTTTCCAAGATCTATTGAGCTTTTTCCCTCAAAAAGATTGATGTTGAAAACACTACCAACCATAAATTTCAACATACTATTATCAAGATCTATTGAGTCTTCTCGTCCCCTATCTTCATTTGAGCCTTTTAACTCAAAAGTCAAATTCAATACATTATTCTGAGACAGTTATTGTTTCTTCTAACTATTCATTCATTCCAGCCTCCAATTAAAAGACTAATGATCTTTGAAAGGTCAACATACCACAACCATTCAAATTCTCAGTGGTCTGGCACGACTTCATATTAAATCAAGAAAACATGTTTTTTGATAAACAGGTGATCCATATTTTTGCCTAATTCCTTAAAATAAAATTCAATGTAATAAAATAAGCAAATCATTTACTAATTACATTATTATTACATAAAATAAAAATTTACTTTAATATCTCAATATGCCTCCCCAACTTATTAAATAATATTTGGTCTACTGTGTCAAATGCTTTGGCCAAAGTGAAGAATACGTGGTGTTCATTTATCAATTGCATCATCTATTTAGTTATTTCTACAGTCACTTGCTGTGTACCTTTATTAAGCTGAAGGCCAAATTGCATTTCATTTATCAAATTACATTTATTAATAAATTCATTTATTTACTTTGTAATTTACATTATAATTTGTACTGCATACCCAGATTTGTGTATTGGTAGAACTTTAGAGGGGGTAGTACTAAGACAAGAGGGGAAGATTTCTTTTACCAAGCCATTATTTATCATATATGCTATTGGTTTTGCTAAGTATTGTGATATCAATTGCAATGTTTTAATCAAGATCTGATCACACTCGCACACAATTTTTTTAATAGTCATACTTCTGGATATGTCCACTGTTTCTGTTAATTTGTAGGGGATTATGTATGTAGTATTATTAATGTTAATGCTAAGTTTAATGTTATTACAATCGAAATGATATGTGTTATCAAACTTTATAGCAAGATCTAGTCCTATATTTACAAAAAAATCATTAAACACATCAGCTATCAGTTTCGGATCATCTATCTCTTCCTTGGTATCTAATGCAATAATTTTACCCACAGATTTTTTGGCTTTCCTCTAGTAACTTTTTTATTTATCAATTTTCAGAATTTGGTTGTATTTTAATTGTATCACCAATAAGCTTATAGTTTTATATTTCTTGGGCAGATTTTATCAACAAAGACAATTATTTTTGTAAGCATTGCACCTAATTTGGACTATTTCATTATCTGTTGAATTTGTTTACCTTTTTGTACAATTGGGTGTGAATTGTGTATGATTTCGTAGTACCTCTTGTTATCCTTCCTAGGTTTGCTTTTTTTATATTCTCACATCTGATTCTACTTTTTTTAGATAATTTTCAATGCTTGCTATCAGTTTATTAGTTATCAAATTTGTATCTTCAATGCTGTATAACTCACTCCATTTTTATTGTAATTGAATTCACAAATAGACAGTAGTTATTTGTGACAAATTTCTCTCCTGTATATCATTCTGTCTATTGGTATTATCTGTAAATCTCATATTCAGAGACAGTGTAAAGTGATTGGCCATATCGGTTTTTAACACACTGTATTTTTTCAAAATTTTTTGTAAACCTGCTAAAGAAGTCATTGCAGCTGGACGTAGTATCAGTAACTTGTATATTTATATAAGATTTATATATACAGTAAATTTTTCTTTTAATATAGCTAAGTTTCTATCCCCCAATATAAAGTGATAAAGTGATTTACTTTCTTAGTATCCCAAAGATATTGTAGATCATTAATTGATCTTTACAGGGATGATATGATTTCAATACAGAGCAGTAAGCTTGATTTCTCTCAATTCATATTTGATTCGCAATTCTACAGCATGTAGGAAATGCCTATTAATCTCATTATTATCAAAGTTGTATTTGCCTTTCACTTGGAGAAAAATTCCATTATTTCTATTAATATTAATTTTTTGAAAAATTGTTTTAGATATTCTATATCATAAAGTCAATGGTAATGAATGTTATGAGTTTCCGTACAGAGGAATATATCTGAGTTATTTAACTGTTCTCTCATCAGTTTCAGATCATCAAAACGCTTCTCCGAACTTCTCACATTTATTTTGACTATTCTCAGGTCGGAGTAATCAACTGAAAATTCATAAATTTTCTGGCAATCATCGTATATTGATTTTTCATCATCAAAAATGTCTTTATCTAAATCCATTTTTTAAAAAACAACAATAATTATAAAAGATCCTTGTATTCAGCAGGTTTCTATAAAATATGTTAGTTTTACAGACCTCTTCATTGAACCTCTCCAATGATCTGTCGATCTTAGTTTTATTATTTGTTATTTGGTCTAATACAATTTATACAATGTTTTCCATCACATTGTCTTACAATTTTTGCATTCGTGTTTACCCATGCAATATTTGCACAGTCACTTTGACAGTGTTTCGTGCTGTGCCCGTAATCGTTACATTTAAAATACCTATTTATATTATATTCTTCAAAGACTTTGAATGTGAAGACAGAATTTGAAAGAATTCTGAATGCATAACGTAATGGAGTACATAAGGTAATTCAGTGTTTATTTCATATGGGTATTCCATTTGAGGTTTGACTGAATTGAAATACCCAGAAATTTTGTTATCTTAACATATGCTAATTGCAATGCTAATTTGCAATGGAGCATTGCCAGTTTGAAATTCAAAAATTCATTGAAACAAGTTTTCCATAATTTTTTTTCCTTTTCTAAAATGATTTCTTGCGTTTTCTTTGTGATGTGTAGCACCACAGTTCAGACGTACACATTGCTTAGACTCTTTATTCATGCAACATTCAAATGTAACAGATGTATACAACTCATCTTAATCATCCATCATGTTTTCAGTCCAGTCAAATTTGATTTATGAAATGTGATGGATGCTTTTACGGTTACTCTGTACCCAGGTCTGTATCAATAGGAGCAATCGCTTGATGCCTGCTCAATTGTTATTTTTTATCCTCCATTAGGATGTCTATTTCCAAGCACCAAAGATCTCTCTGTACAGGGTATCATTTGGGGCATAAGTTGCCAGTTATAAACAAGATCCTCAGGGTGTTTGGACATTATGTATGTCACGATTGAACTCTGAACTGAGTTTTAGAACTTCAATTTGTCTATGTAATGAAATAGTGGAGAGTAAGTTGACTGCCAAATAAGGGTGTAAAAACAAAATATAAATCAAACAAAATGCGAGAGACCTATAAAACATCTTCAAATTATATTCTTTAATAATAACCATAGCTTTATAAAGCTGAGAGAAAGAAAGTTCTTGAGCTTTTTTAAAACAGTTGACATCATCACCATTATGATTAAACAGAACCTTGTTTATTTTTCTGTGTTTAATCTTATTAAAGATTTGCTTATTTGTGTAATTCTAACTTGTTGCAGTTGGAATTTATCCAAGCAAGATGGTTGACTTGAGCACCATTCCTAATGCTCCTATCAAAGTAAGTTTGTTTCGTTTCCATTTGTTATGATTTGACTCATAGAATTAATATTGTAATTAACAGTGTTTCCTATTTCTTGTTTCAGGTCATATTCGCGATTCATTTCTTTCTGTGTTGTTGGTGAGTTTTTCATTTGGAAACTTTAATAATACATTTAAGGTTATTTATTAAGAGCAAATTTTGATTTGCTTTCAAGATGACCTATAAGAACTAATTTGAGTAGATTTTAACTTTCAATTAAAGAATCTTACTTTTGATGGGCATTTTCTGTCGAAAGTTATTTATTGTAGTATAATTATTTAATGATATTGTTTAATATTGGAATTTCGTCTTTTTAAGAAAGAATGTGAATAAAATACCTGTCAGATGTTCTGTTAATATTTGGGTTGGAAGATCATAAATGATATGAAAATATTATTTTTTAAAGGCAATTGACAATAATAGTATTGGAAATACTCTTTTTGAAATTTATTTAGTTTCATTATTACAATTCGAAATTATTTTAGTAAAAAAAAAACGCAAAAAAAAATCCAAAATGCACAAACATATTGTGATGGCCCCTACATGTTGGACATCCAAATATGTGACAGAACTAATCCACTTGGTACAAGTGATGACCCCTAGCACGAGAGCGCCAGAAACCATGAGGAATCGCCCGGGGGGGGGGGTCCCACGTAGTGATCTGTACACGCGTTTGTGCGTCTGATGCTGCGGGGGAGCTCAGGACGCACGCGCTGAATTTTTATTTGAGAAGCGCCAAGCGCGGTACATACCTGGTCCGGCTCTAGAGAATCTCGAAGGGCGTGGATTGCTCTGGGTTGCCGAGCTGTGCTAGCTTAATATCTACTGTTAAATAATATGCTAATTGAATTGATTAATCGTCGTCCATCGAAGTGGCGGAGCCCCATTTATTTTAAATTAAACATTTCTTTGTACAGGATTGCCACAAATTCTACGCAAGTTCCCCTATGAACAGAAAAATGCCAGTTCTGAATGACGTACTGGGATCTATATTGGCATGTTAGGAGTTACCTCGCTTTACGTTCTCGTTACCGCGGTAGAGAGAAAGTTATACAATGTTGTATAATGTTGTACAATGTTGTATAATGCTGCGCGAAGAAAATGAATTATGGCAGAAAAACTCTCATTACACTCTCGTTACAGTGCCCGGTAACGAAAAAGGGGGTAAATCTAGATGCTAAATTTGAGGGGGGGTAGGGAAATCCTCTAACACGTGATGTAGTCAAAATCCATGTTTTGTGGATCCTTGGTACCGAAAAATCGATTGGCGGCAAAACTTCCGTCCGTCTGTGAACGATGCAAACCAATAAACCGTTCAGCTGATTTTCTCCAAAATTGATTTTCCTCAATCGTTCTGGCTGATGTCGCTGCTCCTTGAATTTGAAATCGATATTTTAATTTGGGGGGTACTTCACATGAAGTGCCTGGGACATTCTCCAAATTTTCAAAAAAAATGGCCCCATCGTTTTTGAATAATTTATTTTTGTTGGACAGTGTAAAGGATGTTTAAGAGAATCATGCGGATCACATTTTCGTTTAAAACTGATTTTTCGAACATTGCAAAAGGTTAAAATGTTTTAGCCATCTTCCTACAACTAAAATATGGAAGATAGAAATTTTTCCCTCAATAAAATCTGTTCCTTAATGATAGATTTTAAAATAATGCTATGTGCAAATTTTCGAAAATGAGTATTTTTACGTAAAATATGGATAATAGTTAATTTTGTTTACACTTTTTTAATCAAAAACTGCTTCATGGTTTTTGATGAAATTTCTTTGTTGGATAGTCTGAACGACATTTAAAGAAATCGTGCAGGTCTCATGTTCATTGAAAATCCTGATTTTTCGAAAATTGAAAAATTAAAAAAATGTTCGGCGTCTTCCTACAACTACAATTATGGAGATATATTTTTCCTTAATGAAATGTGTTCACCAAAGGCAGATCTGTAAATGAAGGTATGTCGAATTTTTGGAAAATATTAGTATTTTTTGTGTAATTTGGCGACAGAAATAGTCGCCCGCTCTTCATGGACATGAAATGAATGGTGATGCTAGACAGTTGGATGCTACAAAAGTTAGAATCTGTATATTATTCCATATTTCTTTGTTCATTTCTTACGTTCGAGCTTTTAATAATGTTTTAAAATCAATCTTTTAGAAATTATTTGAATCCTGTTTTAAATTGCTTCCTTTGAGGTAAATGTGAAAATGAATGAATGATGATGAATCCGCTTTGCTTAATATGAGGAAATGAAGAGTAACGCATGTAAAAACTGAGAAATTTTCATGAATATAAAATTATATATAATTAATATATTTTTCTATCCAATTTTCATTTCCTTTCTAGCGGTATCAAAAATGCTAATTGGCAAAATGTGTATCCCATACGAATTAGAGGTTATTGATGCTTGTAACCCATTGTTGTAACGCCGCACTGATAACAGAAGGTGATAATGACGGCTGCTTTGCGTTCGCTCTAATATAAATTAATAATTTTATTTACGGCCAAAATACGCATAGTGCATCGTCGGTACATTTATATAGAACGTGAATACTCTGAAATCAATGGTAGAAAGCTGTTTTCGTTTAAGCATTTGAATTAATTTTTTTTCAAGCTTCGTTTGTTTAAAAAATTTTCAAATGGTATTTGAAGTGTAAGACAGAAATTGTCATATTATATTACATATCCAATAACAATATCGCGAGTATGTGATGTTATAGCACCACTAGTTGAGAATTGCTTGCCTGCTCTACCGTTGGGTTTGCTGCTCGCGTTGTTCACGCTGGACGGTGCCCCGGTGATAATGGAAGTAAGCGTCTTTCAAGAAGGGGATGCGGCCTCGCGTGTGAATGTGGGCGCCAGTCGGCAGTATGCGGTGGTCCCCCCGTCGAAGTGCCTTTCTCGTCGCGATGACGGTGAAGGTAAAGCCGTCACACGCCACCTTCCCGCGTCTGGCTGCGCCTCGTAGTAAGCAGCGCACATTTGCATGTGCTTTTCGGACGGTTATTTGCTACGTCGGCGAAACGAACTAAATTCCCGGTGAAGCCGTCACTTTGGTTAAGTACAGTTAATTTTGGCTGGCAGATACGGTTTAACTGTGTTCTGCGTAAGTTTGCTCCCAGTGGAGGGATTTCCAGATGTGCCGACAATTTGCGTGTCGGCAGAGAAGTCCGAAGCCGCAGTGTCAGCCGAGAGATGTCCAAAAGAAGTGTCATGCTGTCGACCAGCTGATGACAGGAGAACTTCTCCCGCTGATCGCTGATGTTAAGCTCGCGTCTCTCTCTCTTTCGTCTCTCTCGTTATTCGTCCTTCACGCTGCTCCTTCGCCCCGTGTCCCCTCATACTCCTTTGGGGCGCGTTTTACCCAATCACGTGCGTTCAGGCTGTCTTACTGTTGGTTATGTGCGCATTTTCTGGAAAGTTCTGTTGCTAGGAGGTTGTTTATTGGTCGGGAGCCATCCCTTCCCTGGTGGCCTATTTCTTTGAAGGTTTTAATTGGGCCTTTTTGTTTGCTCACCGTTGTCGAGGGGAGGGCCGGGGAACGTTTGTTTCATTTTGCTCTGGACAAGAACTACTTCAATCTGGCGCTTTACGGCGCCAAAACGTCAATCGCGCAGGACAAGGACTGTCGAATTGGGTGACCTCATTTGGCTTTGAAGGAGTGCGCCCCGGGGAGACCACTTGATTTTATTTTTAACAGACGGGGTTGACATGCTAATGAAGAGTGTGTCACCTTCACACTATGGCGAATGCTTGCTTTATGGCCTCCACGGCCCTCGACCAGCCAGGGACATGTGCGTGGCTAGTGGCCGGGACGCCATCTGGTCAGGGTTTACGTGGCGGGTGCAATTATAGCGTCGGCGATGAGCGCACTGCTCCATACATCGCAATAAAGATATAGAATGAAACACAACTGTTTTAATCAAGAAAATGTCTTCTAGATTTCCGAGCACATTTGGCAGGCTGTGAAGTGCCGTTGGCCAAGGATGAAATAGTGAAGGCCGTGTTGAGAGGGAGCATTATTTCCATCATTGCAGAGTCAAATACTATACCGAATGAAGTGTCTATTGTTTAATGTACACACGAGTAACACTGACCATCTTCACGCGTTTCACCCTGAGAAAGGTCGAAGAATGGCGGCCGAAAAGTTGGCACCTGAGCCTACGACGCGGCGTCTCCCGGACAGCCAAGCTGCTACGGTGGCAACTTGCCCCAGCAGCGCCACTCTCTGGGCGCGCCTGTGGCCAATGGAAACAACTCCAGCGTAGCCGACGTCTCAATTTCTGTGTCCAATTATTGTACGAAATGAAATAGTTTTTTCCATCTAGCACAACTATTGAGTGCATTAAAAGTACTGCTGGTTGTTATCTTAACTGTGCCAAGAGAGTTATGAAATTTACGAATGGTGGTTTGTTTTCCTCTGCGCTTTTCGAAAGTCACCAAAAGAGATCTAAACTTATCTTTACTTTTATATTTTATCAGCTTAAAAGAAAAAAAAGGTATATATTTCTTCAATACTAAGTTTGACCATCTCAATAGACGACTGGATGACCATTAAATTAACATTTCCCTGCTGCCAGAGCTGTGACGAGGTTGGCCAGGCCCAGGAACGGGGGTCTTTTGCATTTAAAGACCAGTTTTTCATGGTGTGATAACGCTCTTTTTATTTTTTGCCTCAAGAGCGAACTTGGTACACTTCAGTACACGTGGCCTTTAAGTGAACAATAATCTAACACCTAATGAGCAAAACTACTTGGAAGTACCAGAGAAACGAGTTTAACAGATGCACAGAGGACGGTTAAAAAGGGACTGCGGATATTATACTCTAAACCTAGGATCATTCTGATCACGAGCAAACCCGATGTTAGGAGGAAAAAAACTGATACCTCAGGGATTTTCACAGGTCTTTCTAAAAATAACTTGAAAATGTGTTATCATAATGTTCGAGGTCTGAGAACAAAGCTGCAGGATTTGCGTGATGCGTTGTGTCAGTGCTGTCAGTGTCATCTGCTGTCGGTTTTAACGTCATCTTCATTGTGGAGACTCGGCTTAATAATTCACTTAACATCGAACTCGACATGGACTGTTACACGGTGCTTCGTCGTGGTCGTGGATCTTCGTCTCGCCGCTACAAGAGAGGCTATGGGCTACTGACTGCTGTTAAGGATTCCATTCACTTCAGATTGATATGAGCCTTACTGAAATTGAACAACTGAATGTCAAACTCTCTCTAGCAGACGGCAAGCTGATAATTACCTTTCCTTCGGCGAGTGGTCGTGAAATACGAAAATACCAGATATGCAGAATGTCTTATTAATATTTTTGAGACACATCGACCTTTAATCGTTCCTGCTTCCTGGTGATTTCAATCTCCCTGATATATGCTGGAACGATCTTTTGGAGGGCGCTATTTATGACATATTATATCTCTTGATAGACTTTTGTTTCCACACATATTGTTCGCAAATCTAATTATCCTTCATGGTACAGGGCTGAATTGAAATCTTTGACCGGCGAGAAAAAATGTCATAAGCAGAAACTTAGATCGACTGCTTCGTACAGCCGATTCTCTTCGAGAGACAAACGTAAATTTACGCAACGATCGGTTTATCGCAGATTTATTGCTTTGACTATAGGCGGCTCTACACATTCGGCATTCGGTATTCGCCGAGCAGCGAGCTATAGCACTAAGCGCTATTCACAATGCAAACATAAACATAAGCATGGCGTTAACATAAAAGTTAGGACTACGTCCATAAGCGGACTCATTCACAATGTGTTTGTATAAGCATAACACGTAAGGCGTTAACTTAAAAGCTTGCAAGCTTAAGCTTCTGTGCTTATGCTTAAGTAAGACAAAAGAAATGAACCAATTACAGTATGTTAACTCAAAATCGAGAATCGGAATTAGAGCGAAGTCGATTGAAGAACTAACGCCATATGGGCCATGGGCACAATCTATACCTGGAAATCGATTCTCGCATCCAACCAATAGTAAACCAGAAAGTCTCAAAGCCAATAGAAACTCCTATTTTGCGTACGTTTATGTTAGGCATTGTAAATACTTTAGTCTATCACTTATGTTAATGTTCATGTCTATGCGCTATGCTTATGTTTACGTTTCCCTTGTGAATGAGCCTTTACTGCTCTCTCAATCCCGAACATCTGATGTGCTTAGTGAGTGTTCGCTCCCTTTGATGTGTCCTAAAGACACAACGTGAGTAGAGCAAATACAGAATGTTCGGTGCTCGGCAAAATGCAAGCAACCCGTCCACACTACTCGGGATTCGCCGAATGCCACACGTGTGGAACCGCTTTTAGAAATACTACGTCGCAGTACAAACAACCTGTACCCCTTTCTAGCACTTATGGGAATTTCACATTAAAAGTCTGGGGGCTAAATTCAACTATTTGTTAAAACTAGTGAAGGTACTTTCTCGCATTATTTCTAAATTTGAAATTTTCGAAAAATCATACAGTTCAACGAAAATAAGACCAGCGCCATTCTTTTAAGCATGCATCCCTTCTATCGGGGGGGGGGGATTTTAAGAAAAAAATTGGAGCGATTTTTGTGAAAAATGTCAATTTTTTGTGTCCATTTCACTCCAAATTACACGAAAATGACTCATATTTACGAAAAATGGATCGTATACTTATTTGATGATCCGTCTTTATTTGATGTAGGAGAAGAAATATCTATCTTCAATATTGTAGTTAGACAATATTGTAGAAATACGCCCCTGCCCCCCCCAAAAAAATTGCACTTTTGCAATTTTTAAAAAATCGGGGATTTTAACGAACACGAGATCTGCCCCATTCTCTTAGCGTCCTTTACGGTATCCAAAGGTAAAGTTTTATTTTAAACAATTGCTGCCATTTTGAGAAAATTTTGAAACTGTTTTTGGGGCTTCATTTAAAGTGCTCTCAAAAATCAAAATATCCCAAAGCCTCGAGTTCATTCCGATCTATTGGGGAATATCAATTTTGAAGAAAATCGGCTCAACGGTTCAGGCGCTAACGTTGATCACAGACAGGGACAAACATGTTTTGCCGTCAATCGATTTTTCTGTATCAAGAACCCAGAAAATATCGATTCTGGCTACACCACGTTTTAGAGGATTTTTTTTCTATATTTAGCTACGGGATATATACACTTTTTATTAACAGGTACTAAAAGTTTTTCTGCCGAAAATTCGCCGTTTCCCGGCTCACGATTTCATAAGTTACTGTAAATACCGTTTATCGGTCACATGCTTGTTAACACTCAACCCTATAAGTTTGTTAGGTGCATTTGTACCTATCTGTAGGATAAGAAATTTAAAATCCTTAGCAACGGGTTTTAACAGCCTTAGTAACCTAAATAAACAACCACCCATTCATCGCAAGTCAACATTTTTACGAAAAAATCCCATGGTAATTTACAATACAAATAGTAATCAAATAATAATATACTCATAATGAGGTTGGCGTACGTACCTGCGACTGTAAAACAAAACGTAAGTCAAAGGTTTGTCTTTATAAAAGGAATAAGTGTAAATTACCTTACCAAGTTCTTAAAGTACGCAAGCATTACATCTTCTGTAATCACGGCTACCTGATTTTGAAATTGCCAAGTTTTAAATTCTTTGTATGCCTTCTCGTATCGTGCTTTAGATTTTTCAGGAATTAAATTTCGCGTGGCTTCCGCAGCTGCATCCAAAATTTCTTGAGGTACAGACAAATTTTCTTCCTCGAGCCACGGCATACAAGTGTATTGTTGAAATAGATATAACGCAAGCAATACCCAACAATATCGATTAACGTGCCGCAACAACAGAATTCATGTGTTTCATATAGCAGTAATTTACATTTTCTCAAAAAAAAAATGCCTCGTCCAAATTAGAAATCTCGGCTCCGCTACGCTCCGCCTCGATTTTTAACTTTTGGCATCGGCAGTAATTAACTCATAGCTATTTACATACCTAGAAATGTTGTAACCTGGAAACCATCCTCCTTTGCATTGAGGATAAATTGAGTATAATACGAAAGATTAGCTTTAATATCTCTTCCTCCTATGAAACCAAACTGTCTTTCTGAAAGAAATGGGTATATTCAGTATAGGTAAGAAAATAAAATTACAATATTTTAACAATTACAGGGATTCCATCCATACCTTGTTTACTGTTAGAGTATTCTCAGTATACAATGACAATATTTTATATTTAATATGAGAAAAATACACTGTGTAAAATATCACATTAATTTGGTAAGTATTCCTACAAATGTGTTGCCCATCATTAATTGAATGCTATCTGATGCATTTATATTTTTTTATTTTTTGCAATAAAACACTTCCATAAATGCTATTTTCATAATTTGTCATTCTGGAATGTGTGAAACAAGTGTTAATTCAGAGTGTGGTTATACAGCACACCAGGAAAGTCTCTACAGTGGCACCTTGCTGGTGAGAGTGCTTGCAATAGAAATTAAGTTGACAGCATGAGCTGCAGCTTGAAAATGTAAATTGAATATCCACCACAAGCATAATAGATGGGGCAAGTGTTTCCCCCCTTTACTTGTTTCCCAGTAATCTGCTTGCTACCAACATAAATGCAATTTGAAATAAGAGACCGTGAGCTTGGTGTAAAGAGACTCCTGGTGCACAGTATTAGAGGTTAATCATGTTTAAATAGAACAACTAAATTGTGTTCATAAAAAAATATGACTAAACTTCTCAATATTTTCCAATTTACTTCTCAGATCTGACATTTATTCATTCATTTGTAGCATTTTTGATACTTATAATTGATTGAACTTTAATTATTTTTAAAAAAGTATCTGTGAAAAATTTGTTTACAAAATAGTTTCATTATCTGAGGAATTAATCAATAAAGATACAAAACCAGATTCATAGATGAAACTAACTGCTAATCTTCTGTAAATAAATTTAGCAAGAACACAAGTCAGGTTAAATTGGGGGAACTCTATTGGGTATTTATTTGAATGGAATTATGTGTAATTTTTGGCAATTGCCCTAAAATTGTTCTGAAAATATTTATGAAATGCATTGTATCCGCAACATCATGCTTGTTTATAAATGCTCTTACTGGTTATACTTGGTATATATGGTATATTCTTTTTGAAACCAATGCATTTTCCCAGTTTGCTTTAAAGATTAATTCAGTTTCATGATTTTATTTTTTAGGGGTGTGCAAGGAACATGGAGTCCAAATTCATACTTTTTTTACAATTTGCTCTTCTTTCTTACACTAATGTGGGCAATTCAGTGCAAAGATTCAGTTGAACCTGTGGAAATGGTAAGTAGTTATCTGTCGGAAATAAAATACATGTTTTTGTAATATCTTAGTTCTCCTTAATCAAAGATAAGCCTATTCTCATTTACAAATCAATCAAATTTCTCAAAAGTCTTGATTAGTTTCATGTTTCGAAGAACAACGTTAATCCTAGGTTGAGTACAGTAGTATCCAAATGCGGGTAAAGAGAATGAGTTAGTGTGTGTCACTGCAAGAACAAGTAGCCAACTCAGTGACGCACTACATATCCTCTGCCTTCAAATGGTAAACACCTCAGAAAGGAAATCCTCCCATCACATTTAGAGACCTGCAAATAGTTCAAAGGAACATTAAAATTGCTTTCTGCATTAAAGAGTTAAAGAAAATGGAAGATTCAGTATAATTCCCTTCTAATTTTTATCAATGCACATTCGCTTGATACCTACCTTGCAGAGTATGACACCAAAATCACCAGCTTAGAATTTGGCTTACAGGGAAAGGGTAGAGGGAAAGAGGTCTTTCTTCAAGTTCCAGGCTCTACATAAGATGACTGACTACATGAGACACTGGTTCAGGGCTGTTGCTATTATTTCAGCTCTTTGCCGTCATAGTTGCCAGTTGCTGGCTGCCACCAGATGTCACCCTAGAGGTCTAGGAGGCCACTTGAAATTTAATGGTTTTCTCAGAACTGCAAATACAATATAGATTTACCTACGTGAAACACAAACTAGCTTTAATTTCACAAGCATATCTTCTGTGTAATTTCATGTTCTACTATCACTTAAAGCACCATTTGCCTACAGAATATGCATGTTTGTATAAGTGGTCTAATAATAAGGGTTAATAGCTGTTGAAGGGTTATGGAAGATATGTTGATGTCACCTCATATTTTGTAATTCAAATGTTACCTTTCTTGTAAGTAGGAAGGTAGCAAGGTGTGCATTAAACAAATTTATATTGATTGGAATTTGAAGAAACTGTTGAATTTTCCATTCTCTTGAAGTGTTCCTCAAGGCTAACATGAGGCTCATTGATAACTGTTATTATTAAAAGTAGATCAGTTACCAGTTAAAATGCTATGAGATGGTTCCAAGTAACAGCAAATGAGTGTGTCTTTATAGTGTACATTTTTAATGACATGCAATTTTATTATTGTATTGACATTACCTGGAACTAGTGATACCATTAACTGCAATTTGACAAAGTGGCAGAATATAAATACTGTGAATGGAGAATACTGTGAATGCAAAATTTATCATGAATATGTATATTTCATTCCTCTACTAAACATTTCACAAAATAAATCTGTTCAGTATCTTTTTTGCATCTTTAGTCTATCATACCACATTTATGGCATACTTGATGTAATTTTTTTTTAGTAAAAATGACTGCAAATCAGAGTTGTGCTGAATGGCTCAGATTTCAGTTAAGTTTCTTGTAAATTGTTTATTTTGTAAAGAATTAAGAAGTTCGATTTCACCCTGAAATCTCAGTTTTCAGAAAAGGAAATTTCAAAGTTTTCACATGTGATTTTGCCATATTTCATTCATCATTAGATAATCTGTCATACAGCACACTTTTTTACAAATTTTATTGGGAATATTTTGCAATGGTTAGATTTAAAGAAATTGTATAACAGTGGAGGTAACAGTATGCCTTAAGCTGTTCTTCCATATATTTGAATCTTTCCATAATTTTGTTTAAAATATTCTAGAGATTTTACACTCCTTACACAAGGTACATGTTTAGGATAGGCTTAGGAATTGAAAAAAGTAAGTACAGTTTTCTTCATGTTTATTTTATGTAAGAAAATGATAATAAATTCAATTGGATTAAAAGTGAGTTTTTAGTATTTTGTTCCTTCTTCATCACTCATCATTAGTCCAGTACAACAATTATCACTATAATATAAGCAACACAAGGAAAATCAAACTTGGAATTCTTGAGTTAATGTAACAGTAAAAAACTATAAAGATTGACTAAACTAAGAGTGCATAACAACCTCAAATTTTCAAAGCATTAAATGAAAATTGGTAAAGAAAACTTTGAATCCTTTGAACATTTCTTAAATTACAAAATATTTATATATTTAATTTTCATCAACATAGAATATTTTTGCCTCTGCTCCTTTAATTTGATTTGCAGATAAATAATGTTTAAAGTTCACTTTGGTATAGACTGATTTTGTAATCTTCCAAAAGATTTTATTTTAGTAGACAAGTGTATGTATTCTATTTAAGTGCAATTCTTGAAAAATGGATATTGACAACTGCAAAATCTATCATTCAAGAATGTTTTTAGCTCATTATGTCAGTATTTTTTCTATTTTAGTATTTTCTTATGTTAGTATGTATTTAATGTCATTATTTTTCTTTTGTTTTCAGGCCTTGTTCATTGGTGTGGCTAGTATAATTCTTGACATCATTGTTATTACTGTCTGCTTTCCATATGATCGTGAGTTATGCTTTCTTCTAACAAAACATAGTTTTTATACATAGCTAGGGTTGCCAGATTTGTTTGAAAGATAGCTGGACAACTTTTAAATTTTTTGTATCATCATCATCATCATCATCATCATCATCATCATCGTGAACTGGCCAGAAAATAGGCTCTAAAATAGCCTGTTTTTATTTCTACAGCAGGAACATTTTTTTATTATCTCATAAAAATTACTGAAATTATAAAAAAGTTAACATTCTACTTTTATATTCAATATAGCGCAACAGAAGTGTATTGTCTTACCACAGAACACAAAATTTATCTTAACTGCTATGCAAAGTATTGACCAATGTTCATTTTGATAAGTGACCCAAAACTCAAATCTATAAAAATTTATTCATAATGCAGAATACCCAAACATGTAACCTGTAAGACCATATATTAAATAGTATCTAATTAGTGAGTGCGGAGGCCCTGTGAGTTTGAAACGGATATTTTGATTTCACTCTTTCGCATTCTTCTTAAGCAGTATTGTAATGCTCAGTGAAAAATGGAGATTTTTCAAGAAAAAACTCTCATTACCAGCCCTTGTTAATGAAAAAGTGTATAAACCTTGTACCTCATGTAGTAAATTACTTCCTGGTACACATTGTGTAGTGAAAACCCATATTTGGGGGATCCTTGATTCTGAAAAATTGGTTGACGTCAAAACGTCTGTCCACCCATCAGTCTGAATGTCCGTTTGTGGCTAGTGCTTATAATTTATAAACCATTCTGCCGATTTTCTTCAAAATTGATATTCGATGATAGATTTTTGTTAAATGAAAATCTGTTCTAAAACTCAGATCTTTAAAAAAGTTTGTAGACAATTTTTTTAAAACAATAGTAGTTTTCATATAATTTCTGGTAGTAGTTAATGTAATTTATAAAAAAATTGAACTTTCTAAATTTTATAAATTGTCAAAGTTGAAAATTTTTGACCTCTTCAAATGACTTAAATTTTTTGAAAATATGAGTAGATTTTATGTAAAATTTATGGCCAATAATTATTTCTCCTGATTATATAATTCTTCATGTCAGAATTGTACATTGAATATATAATTCTTTATGTCAGAATTGAAAATTTATTTATTAAATGAAATTATAATCATTTCAGTGATAATTGATTTAAGATCTGTCCATCCTTATTTCATTTAGAAATTACTTCTTATTTATTTATTTAATACTATTTATACATAATAGTACTGTTACTGGTAACTTTATGAAACAGTGCTTATACTATAATTTTGATAAATGTAAAGTTCAGTAGATTGCATACTAAAATTTATCATATATAGATGAATAGTAGCATGTGATGTCCATCTCTCAAAAGTTTATGCAAGTATGTGCACCGTGTGCCATTTTAATTGCGCCCAATCTTTCTATGGTGTAATTTACACAAATAGTTGTGCGTATCAAATGTTACTGTAGACAACGTTATTTTATTACACTTTACTTCTTGCTATCTTTTGTTGATTATTAATCTTAAGTATACTTAACATCTATTTTCCAGGTACTAGTAACAGATTCAGTGTTGGAATGGCTATTCTGAATTTGCTAATCCGTCCTGTTACTTCCATGCTGTTGTATCGAGTTCATGCAGATCGTTGTGGAGCTTCTGGAGCATTTTCAAACAATTTAGGGGGATTGTTTGGTGAGAACATAATTCTTTTCTTCTGTTAATTTTGGCACCCAGAGTCATTTGAATGATAATTAAAAATTGTTTGGTTGACAGCAAATGGGATCAAAGTACCAAAAGCTAAATTTTTCAACAATTTTGAATGTATGTAATGTTAAATTTTCAAAATTGTATCATTAAGTTAATTTTTTCCTTTAAATAATATAATTAAATTTCAATATTTAATAGTTTACCATAATACTATGTTCATACAAAAGCTTTATTGCGAGGCATATTCTCTGTAAACTCATATTTTCTATGAAAGGAGTTAAATCTTGTGGCCCAATCTCCTTCCCTCTCTCTCCCCCCTTCACCCCTCTCCCAC